AGACTGTTTTTGGTACGACCAATCAGACGTAAATGGCGGTTAGGTAGGCTCACGGGCCATTAGCAACACAGCCTAGTTGATCAGGCAGTCAAGAAGGAAATCTGGTGTGGCATCAGGTCGGGCTGTAAGGGTATAACCCTGGAAACTGGTTGCCTGTATATCAGTCATGGTCAGGATGACTGTACATGTCTAGTTATGCTCCTTCCAACTAATGGTAGTAATACTTTGCTCTTATTAACAAACTTGGATACGTCAACAATGTGCTGCTACCCTACTCTATATGATAATTTCATTGTAGGAAGAAAAAAAAGCTTACCCTATCATATTCCATCACACAAGATGGGTTTCGTATATCAAGTGATGAAGTTTGTCATCTTGAGCTGCGAGACGTCAGTAATAACACATGAATGAGAGATGAGAGTAACTTGAACCACGACCAGCTGCTGATGACATTCTACCGTATTGTAGAGTCATTTAATGGTTGAAGTTGGAGGCAGGCGAGGCTGGTTTGACTGGAAAGTAGTATGGGGGACGCAGGGGGTGAGATTTATAATTGAAGGGGGCGGGAAGTAAAGTTTGTATTGGAAATAGGTGGCGAAGTTTGTAGTGAAGGAGTGGCGAGGGGTCGGGGAGGGGCGAAGTTTGTAGTGAAAGGATCAAAGTATATCAGTAGGGAGTGAATGCATTGGTAGGGTAGGAGTATGTTTGAAGGGATGTGGATAGTAGTGTTAAGGTGGTTGTAGTATGACGGGGTTTAGGGCGGAAAGTGTGTTGGTTGTGAGGGTGTGGTGGAGGGGTTGTGAGGGTGTTAGTGGTGGGGGCTAAGGTGAGGAGACGGAAAACAAGTGTTACAGGTCTTGCAAGTGCCACTCCCAGAGTGTACTTCAAGGCTGCCTCACTTGTTTAGTCTTGGTTAACACAGTTGTTGGATGCTACTAGTACATGTTTTATAATACTGAGTGAATATAACCCTCCCCAAGTGTAGGTCGACTTTGAGAAACATTTATATATAAAAGTCTGTCACTGACTTCATGAAGCTAACGACAAATTAATAGGAAAAAATATTTAGTACAAAAAAAAAGCGGTATCGGAGAAGCGCTTATTTGTAAGTGTGTGTTTACCTGGAGTTTACCTGGAGAGAGTTTCGGGGGTCAACGCCCCCGCGGCCCGGTCTGTGACCAGGCCTCCTATCTGTGTGTGTGTGTGTGTTGCCTATTTTTGCCTGTTGTCACTCCTCTGCCTCTTATTAGTATCTACTAAGTTTTCATTATTTTGTCCTACGCGTCATCACTGTCTTCTTGTGGTTTCGCAGGTGCCAGTGTGTCTATACCTGGTATAGCCATCTATCAATCAGGATTCATTGTTCGCGTGATGATTCCAGGTTGATGGCCTGGTCACTGGTCAGTCAGGGTGTTGTTGCCTGTAGCACGCCATCCGGCGAAGGCATCTCAGCGAAGTTGATGAGGAATGATTTGGAGGAATTTATCATGTTTTCTCATGAAGACGGCTCAGGGTTTGTTGGCATTTCCATTTGTATTTGAAGGTTGTTGAAATGTCTTGAACACTTCAGGTTTGTGTTACCTTGTAGTCGTGTGTTTGTTACCTCGTAGTCCACTTATTGTGAATATTTGCGCCTTCTACCGTGCCTTGTGCTCTCGTATTATCTACATGTTAATGATTCCTGGGTTGATCGCCCCGGCAGCCCAGTCCCGGATGAGGCGGCGTGGTAGACAAAGTTAGCAGTTAAGCTGTTGGTACTTGCAAGACGTAATCCAACTTCTGCAATACAGCTCTGCTGAACAAAAACTGACTCAATGCCCTTGTCTCATAAAAAGTTATTTTGGAAAGAATATTCTCACAACACCATGACTGGAACAATATATAAATAACCCGCACTATTTGAAGCCTACCTGGAAAGTGTTCCGAGGTTCAACTCGCCCCCCCCCCGTCCTGCTCCCAGACCAGACCTCCCGGTGGATGTCCTGTTCAGCCAGACTGTTGGTGATAGCCACACAATGGCCAACGTAAGCATAACGGCTTGGCTGATCAGGAACTGACTTCAGAAATTTGTCCAGTTATGACGTCCAGGACGGACCGAAGCGTCGTCATAAGCTTGCTCCTCTAAGTGCTGGTTATATGTATATATGTTCTTTCAGAATGCGTTCATATTCTCAAATAACTTATGTACTTCATACTTTTCACTAATTCGATATACCTGCCATAGATAAGAATAAGAGAACACTTCAACATCCGTGGCCTAAGATTCTTCAAAATATCGTAAAGGGTTCTTAAATGGAGATAATGAGGGTTGAAGGTAGACACACTTGTTGGATGGTAACATATATATTGTCAGACTGTGATGATGAATGTGGAGCCCAGCCTCTGCCCGTCTTCGCCTGTAGGTCTACGCCGACTGAGAGGGAGGCAGAGGTACGAGCCTACACATGCGCATCCCGTGACGTCACACAAAGTCACAGGCCTACAAGGGATCTCGTATCTAAAGCACATGGACGATACTAATATGCTATGCTATATAACACAGGGATCAGCAACTATGCTGACAAAAATACTGTCAACAGATATCAGAACTATTGTTGGAACAAATGCAAAAGTTTTCATGAGGAAACTGGATTACCACCTCCGCCATGTTACAGATCAACGAGAATGTGATGGCCCCCTAACAGCAATAGCTTGATGGATCAAACACTTGGCTAGTAAGCTTGGCCTAAGGTCGAACTGGTATACTTGGAAGGTGTTCCGGGGGTCAATTCCCCAGCGGCCCTGTCAATGACCAGGCCTCGCGGTAGATAAGGGCCTGATCAACCAGGCTGTTACTGCCGGCCGCATGCAAACCGACGTATGAACCACAGCTTGACTGGTCAGGTACTGAGTTTAGGTGTCTGCTCAGCTTCCTCGTAAAGACAGCTAGGGGGTGTATTGGTAGAGTAGAAATGCCTTGATACTGGTTACATGTAGAGCAGGCACATGTGATCTTCAGGATGTACCTACTGACCTGTCTAACAAGAGAGGATAAAACTGTTTCACTTTTTAAAGACAAATTATTTCTTCGGGGACCAGTGAACAGTTTCAAATCTTCAAAGGAAAGCGTTAATTTGCATCACTGTCGTGGTACGTTTCTTTTGCGAGTGTCTTGTGCTTCCGCCTCGCGCTGCCGGAGGTCCTTAACCAGGTGTCCTGCTCGTCACTTCTCCTTATTCATTATATTTTCTCAGCGGTGTGGACGGTCACGCACACTTACTTTAAACATCCATATACAGTGGATTTATTTTGCTCTCAGATACCAAGTTGACCGTCGGTTATTAGATCCTTTCCTAATTGTTCGTGTACCTATGATTACTAGAAATTCACCGTTTATATAGAGGATCTTACTGTGTATCCCTGGTCGCAACAGTCAGATTGTGATGCTTAGGTTGGATTGCGTGCCGCGAGCACCAACAGCCTGCGTGACCTAGGAATCGGTCAAGAGGCCTGGTTTAAGACTCGCTTACATGTAGTAAGTCTACCTTCAACTCTTACATTAGTTTCTTATGATTTTTTTCTAATCACTCATCTTACCTGCGGTCTTTCGTTACCGTATTACCATACATTACGTTGACTAATTCTCGCTAACAGTCTTTGATAAGTATTAACTTTTTAAACTGGCTAATAAAAGAAACTGCAAGAAAAAATTAACAGGAAGTGATTTTTGTAAAATAAATGTCGAACATACAAATTTTCAACATTTACCAGGATGAATGAACTTAAGAATTAGCTGTGATGTTGAAAGATAATGTCATTTACGTATCTGAGTACTTGAACATTAGGAGTGATAATTTCAGAGGATCTCACATTCAAGGATCACAGTAATGTTATCACAACCGCAAGGAAAATGAATTTTGAATTTTGTCGAGTTTCTTTACAAGCTTATTCACATGGGCGTTCCAGTTTTGGCGACGCATACTGTACTCTAATAGGCATGTTATGTGTATCAAGTCCAAAATGATTCCTTGTTTAGGCCTCTGAAAGAAGTTTTTAGGATATCCTCGCAAATGCTACTGAAGGGTTATAGTTAATATGCTTTTTTTTTTTTTTTACCCGGTAACATGCTTGGTGTAATGCATGATACTAGACAGTTTTTCTTTATAATGTCCGTAGTGGGTAAGACCTATAGTGGACGTGACTACGATAGTTATTTTTCTACGTTTTGGTTGTTTTAGAGTTTATAGTATCACTAAACATTTCCTCCTGAAAAAAAATATATAAAAAGATTAGAAAAACACTTTCACTGAGGAAATACGGGAGGGGCGTGAGTGTAGTTCGGGGAAGGGGGCTCTCGACCTCGATATTAATACTGAAACAATGCTACAGTGGCCACAGCATTGCACGTGAGCCCTTTCTATGTTCCACTAAATATGCAAATGTATTTTATTATATATTCACTAATTCATTTCACGTACATTTTGTACAGTGTGTGGATGATGCTGGCTTCCTCCTATTTTCTTTAATAATCTCCAGATAACTGTGACCAGTTAAATATGTAGTGGTAGCGTCTTCGAGTCACATCCGAAAGAAATGGGTTCGGTCTAGGGGCGGGTGAGAAACATGAGTATGTTTGTTTCCTTGCACCTGTTGCTTCTGTAAATATAAAACCTGAGTGTTAAGCCTAATGTTGTGGGTCATATCTTACTGTCCCGTGGCCCTCTTCCCTAAGTGAAATAGACTTTCGGAGGTTATCCTGTGTTACTAACATTCTGGGTTATAATCAGAATAAAATAATCTTCAGATATTCATCGGTGATTTTATCCCCAGAGGCTGTTGAGCGCCTTATTTTTAATTACATTCCATCTTTAATCATTAAGTTTGTCACATAAACACATCTGACCTGCATTCGTCATTTATATAAGAAATATGCTGAATTATATATTAAATGTATGTTAATGTATATGAAGAAAAATCTGTTAAAATATATATGTAAAAGCTTCATGTATTTTGTATTTCAGGTCTCCGTCACTGAAGACACGAACTAACAGTGTCAGCAGCGATTATTTCAGCGATTCCGCGGAAAGTCCATTCCCAGCTCTTATACGAGACGAAGAATTTGTGCTGAATTTCGATCTCGTTGACGAGGAATCACAGAGTTCATGGACGGAAAGTAGAACAACCTCGAGAAACACCCTCCATGGCGAGACGACATCGGTGTCACCTTTATTAGAGTATCCCAAGGAAGGTGACGGCCCACACGTGCGAATAGTAGAAAATGGTGAAAATCGTTTTCTTCAACAGAGCGACGGGGAGAGTAATAGTTACCTGTTAACAACGTCTGATAGAGAAAATTGTACTTCTGCAGAGAAACTGGATGGGGGACTAAAATCAAACCCCACATCCAATAATAGTGCCAAAAGAGACTTCCTTAAACTAGTACCTGAGACTAGATTACTTGCTGTGAAGTCTTTTCTTGGATCTACTCTTTCTCCTCAGCACACTTCTCTACCTGTTTATCCGATTCACAACTCAAACTCCCTCTCGCCTAACTTTTCAAACTGGAACCTAGTACCCCCTTGTCCCAGACCTTCATCCAGTGCCAAAGCTTGTCGCGGGCCAAACCCAGCGACACTATGGCATTCTTCATATAATTTCCAGAAAAAACCTTCAAGCAAACCACTAGTTGACGACACAAGCATCACTATAATGAACAACGATAAAGGTAAGCTTTATTGTGTGTCTGTCGTCTAACTTTAGTTACAGTATCATCTCCTTGAAGGTGATAGAAATTAAGAAAAAAAAGTAATAAAAAATAGTTATAAAAATAGTTGCAGAAACAAGTGTCAGTAATTTACTATTAATGATATACTGTTTCTACTACTACTGGTACTACTTTTACTGTTACTATTACTGGTACTACTACTAGTACTGTTACTGCTACTAGTACTACTAGTAGTAATAGTACTATAACGACTACTGCTATCGCTATTACTACCCCTATTGCTGGTGCTACTGCTGTTACAACTGTTATATATTATGCTTACTACTAATATCTTTTACTAAATTATGTCTATTATCAGTTCTGCTACTGTTGCGCTAATGAAAACAGTAATATGAGAGAGAGAGAAACCCTTATTAGACAAAAAAAAGGAATAATGCTTGTCTGTTTATTTCAACCACCAGCTGAAGTTCTGCTCATCAGCTCCAAGGCAAGGAGAGTATATTTTTTATAGTGGTAGGCAGAGTAGGGAGTTCCATGTGTCGGAACGGTGCTCTTTGAGTTCTTAAGATGCTTAATGACATCTTATAGTAGCCTGTTCCTATATAAGGATGTGAAGTTGTTCGAATGATCTCTCATGCTGGGCTGTATTTATTCCGGAGTGCGAGGGTAATTGGTCTCCTAAAATTCTTTGAATATAAGAACAAAAAAAAAAATGTGGTGGATCAGTCTCTTTATTCCCCTGTATCTATTGATGAGGACCTCAGCTGGTGGTTAAAATGTACAGATAACTGTTCTTGATATTTTTATCTCGTGGGTTTTTCTCTCATTCATCACAGCAGGAAGAACAAAGACATGTGATAAATATTGTTGTTTCTGCAGGCAGTTGTGTAGGCGGGCTGGGTCCGTTGAGCTTCTCGTTGTCTTCGCTGTCGGGGTCGTCTAGCCCAGCGCTAGATTGTCTGAGCCTCGCGACGACCTCCGCAGAGCTCCATACCAACTCGCTCAACAGGCGCAAGTCAAAGTGAGTGCTGCTTAATTTTTTTACTTTGCTAATTAACATCAAGAATATTTTGAGTGCCAAAATGTGAGTTAAAGGAAACGGTCAGTGTACATACCAGCCTGGCTGACCAGACAAACACCAGAGGAGCCTGTCCATCTCCGGGCTGCGGGAGTAGAAAAACTCGGAACTCATCAAAGGTATACCCGTTACACTGGGATCAAGGTTGTATGCATTTATTCCACTGTGTATTCTGCATTGTATTCAACTAAAAGTTGTCTTGTACAAATTCGAGGTCAAATTTTACTTAGCCTGTTACGGCATATTTTTTCATTGTTGAATTTCTTCTTTCCAGACTCAGGTTAGTGAAGGAGTGCACCACCATGGCTAATAACACTTATCCAGTCTAAACTAGGAAACTGGATGGTTAATACCTAATTATATCGACTGGATTGAGTTTTATATATTTAAATATGGGATATCGGTTTGTTGCCTGTTGTTCGTTCTGCAAGTTATCGCCTCACGTCATGGTCCCAGACCAGGGGTTGGCTGGAGTTTACCTGGAGAGGGTTTCGGGGTAGGGAACCTTTTTATGTTCGAAGGTCGTATTAAAATTAGCTGTAATCAAATAAGGCCGCATTAAGAAATTTTGACGAGATATACTGCGAAATGTCGGTTATTTTGTAAAAAGTTAATTATATAATTTCAAGAAAAATAATTTACTCAGAAGGCCTCACTTAATGCCTTAGAAGGCAGCAGGTTCCTCACCCCTGTCACAGACCATCATATTATACGGCTACAAAACTCAGGTGATGCAATTATATAATAAATTTCAATTCTTATTCGTCCCCGTAAATTAAATTCAGAATGTTTAATTTTATAAATAAACATCACATGAGCTGCAGAAATTTATTTCTTGTCTTGACATTTAATCAATGACAGTGATTTAATGTGGCCATCTTCCTGCATCCAGTTAATTCCAGATTTTTTATTTTACTATTTTTCCATTTATAATACAATAAAAGAATTCTTCTATTTCATATATTAGTTGACAAGATTTGCTCAAAGGTAAGTTCCAACTTCTTGCTTCAAGTTTACTTTATTGTTAATTATGATTTTTGGATGCGAGAATTCACCAAGTAATAGTAGTTGGCAGAAGATGGGGATACTGAAGTCTACCTGGAGGGTATTCCGGGGATCAACGCCCCCGCGGCCCGGTTCACGACCAGTCCTCCCGGTGGATCAGCACCTGATCAACCAGGCTGTTACTGCTGCACGTAGTCCAACATACTAACCACAGCCCGGCTGATCCGGCACCGACTTTGTCCAGCTCCCTCTTGAAGGCAGCCAGGGGCCTGTTGGTAATTTTCCTTATGGCTGGTGGGAGGCTGTTGAAGTTTTGGGCCCCGGGCACTTAGGGTGTTTTCTCTTAGTATACCAATGGCGCCCCTACTTTTCACTGGGGACATTTTGCACCGCCTGCCCAGTCTTTTACTTTCGTAGAGAGTAATTTCTGTGTGCAGATTCGGGACCATTCCTTCTAGAATTTTCCAAGTGTAGATTGTGATATATCTTTCCTGCGTTCCAACGAGTACAAGTGCTTCCAAGCGTTCCCAATAGTTGAGGTGTTTGATAGAACTTATATGTGCAGTAAAGATTGTCTGTTCACTCTCTAGATCTGTAATTTCACCTGCTTTAAACGGAGATAATGCTGGATGGGGATAGTGTTGGCGGAGGGATGGGGATAGTGTTGGCGGAGGGATGGGGATAGTGTTGGCTGAGGGATGGGGATAGTGTTGCTGAGGTGAGGGTGGGGATAGTGTTGGCTGAGGGATGGGGATAGTGTTGGCTGAGGGATGGGGATAGTGTTGGCTGAGGGATGGGGATAGTGTTGGCTGAGGGATGGGGATAGTGTTGGCTGAGGGATGGGGGTGGGTACGCGCGTGTGGAGTTGAATTTGGGGTGACCCTGGGGTTGGCGCCAGGGATTTTGGTTTGAATGGTTGTGTGTGTGTGTGGGGGGGGGGGGTACGGGGTTGGGGTTGGGGTAAGGACTTACTGTACTTACTGTTTAATTCACTTCAGTTTCTCAGCCATCCACTCGCAAGTGTTCTGAGAATGCTTCTGGAGCCACTGTGGCATTTTGTAACATGGGAAAACGGAGAACTCTCCGTGATTTAATAATATAAAAAAATTATTGCAGATCTTAACTGGTGTTTTGTTGTTGCGTGCCTAGCTTCGCTGTTTGTTGGGTCACATTTTTCAGCAATTAAATTTGTTCGTTATATAATGGTGGTGGTGGTGGTGTGTCATGGTCACGTGGTTTCATGGTGTGTGAGGTTCGCTTAACCTTGACCTCCACTTTAAACTCGTGTAGCCAAGCATTTTCTTGCTTCTTGAAGACAATCTTTGAAGAATTTTCTTTTAGTCACTCTCTCCACTTGACGCGAAGGTGTAATGCCGACTGTGCTGAAGAAAAACCACAGTTGCAGAACAATTGTCACTTCGTCACGTTAAAAGCTTGCTCCCGCACCTATACCCATTAAATCTTGGGTTCACAAACACTGCCTAGGAATATGCGCCTCTGAGGAAAAATCTAAAATCGAAGATCTCATTATATCCATGTTACTGCATACCACTGTCAGCATGGAGGCATTACTGAAGGCATGACTCGATATGTAGTCACATGGATGTATAGTCACAACAGCAGCAGCAGTGAGCATTATTTTTTTTTTTTCGACGGTCTCATTTCTCAGTTCTACAGAATTGCGCCTTAGTGCTGTCAGGGCAGGTGCGTGTTTATTTTCCGGGTTAAAAATATCAAGTTAAGTGTGGAACCGGGCTGCGGGGGTAGTGAACCCCGGAATCAACTCCAAATTTATAGATTCAGGTCAGCTAACAATACATTGTGTCGGCTGGTGAGTGAATCAGGGCTGGTGGACGACCTATGACCGGATTGGTGGATGACCTATGACCGGACTGGTGGATGACCTGTGACCCTGGACCCACGGAAGACCTGCAGGTAGCTCTTCACCTGTATATGCCGGTGGCTCGTCTCTCTATTGGGGAACTGAGGATCGATTCTACACCTCCCCTCGAGCTGAATAACCCACGCGAGTTTCACTCTTCAGATGAATGAATGAATAAATAAGTTTTTTTTTTTATTATTATTATCACACTGGCCGATTCCCACCAAGGCAGGGTGGCCCGAAAAAGAAAAACTTTCACCATCATTCACTCCATCACTGTCGTGCCAGAAGGGTGCTTTACACTACAGTTTTTAAACTGCAACATTAACACCCCTCCTTCAGAGTGCAGGCACTGTACTTCCCATCTCCAGGACTCAAGTCCGGCCTGCCGGTTTCCCTGAACCCCTTCATAAATGTTACTTTGCTCACACTCCAACAGCACGTCAAGTATTAAAAACCATTTGTCTCCATTCACTCCTATCAAACACGCTCACGCATGCCTGCTGGAAGTACATAACATAAATAATAAAAACCTCGCCACATTCTATTAGTTTGCTGCAGATTCTAGTTATATATGTGGAGCGCTAAACCCGTGTGGGTTCTTCAGCACAAGGAGAGGCGGAAGCTCGTTCCTATGTTCGGTCATAGGGAGACACACTACCTGAGTGTACTCTGTTGTCATGGTGCTACGGAGTTCAACGGGAGTTTCTCTGTAGACAATGGAAGGAGGCCTCGAAGAGGTGATTTACTAGTGCAACATCGAATAAATTTTTAAACGGCTAACCCAAGCGTGTCGAATCCATGTCAATTTCATTATCATTGTCATCAGATTGGTAGTTGTTAGAAATGTTCAAACTAACACAAACACTTTTGTTCATCTGTTGTCAGCTCATTACAGTTACCAGTATTCTGTGTTTGAACTTGGTCATGTAGTATAGAAGGGTTCCCTAGATGGTTTAAGGCTGGGTCGCAAATGAAGGAAATATTTGTAAACTGTACAAGTCAGCTTCACCTAGTGAGTCCCAGTTGATGGGAATATAAGGAAAATATTGCTGAGGTGTGGCGACCACTTAAGTACACCACGGCACTGTTATTAATGGTCCAGGATTTAACCGCAGCTACCCAGCAGCCAAAATTAGCGTCATCACGCTACCTGTAGCATGTTAACTTTGACATGGTAGTCTTGAAAAGCTGCCTCTGTCATGGTAATCTTGACACGCTGACCTTGCGTCCTGCTCTTGATACTCAGACCTTGACGTCCTTCTCTGAACATGGTCTATCCTTAACGCGATTCTTTCGATACTCTATATTTAGCGTACTATTTAAGACCTAACTTAACATCAATGTCAACTATTAACTGTATGGTACCCTCAGACGGTATATCAACTTCTGCTACATTCTTTCGTATTTAATCAATCATTCCCTAACCTTTCATCACACAAGGAAGTGAGCCATACATCTCTTGATGTGCTTTTGAAATGCTGGCGTACTTTTATTTTAAATTTCTTGAATCTTTGGGATTCTTATTTTCTCTGGAATCTTGGGGTAGACAATGAAGTTTAAATTCTTTGGTGAGGGCTTATATTGGGCCAGTGTCATGATTGATTGAATCAAGTAATGAATGTTATACCCGATTAAGAGTTCGGTGTGATTCTTTTTAAATTTGTTTGTTTGAAGAGTAGTGTTTTGACAGATTCCTCCACACCAGTAAGGAAGTCTCAAATAAGGGTTTCGTCCAACCACAGGCTGCTCTCTACGTAGAAACTTGTACTTTCATTTATGTATCAGTTCTTTTGTATAGTTTTATGCTGATCTGTTGTCTGATCTGTACGAGTGTGATTAAAAATTTTATTTAGGTTCCGTTTCGCTCTTCAGGAGCTTTATCAGTCTCATTCGTTCATAATTTAGTCCTTTACTTTATCTACGCACCTGAGGTGGCGCTAAATGCTTCACTTTCCAAAGTATGCAAAACTTCGTATTATCGTTCAGTTCTTACGATCACCCAGATGCTGTATGATTGGGTTGCATTTTAAGGAACGGCTAAACTAGTGCACGG